GTGCATCTACAACTGATTACATTGTGAAGTCAACCCAATGTTAAGATGTTTGCCACAGCTACTCAGTTTTATTCTACTCCAAAATTGATATATCTTGGTGAATTTTATAGACACTGAGCTAAAATTTGGTGAGGCATTGGCTATCAGAATACATACTCTAAGTACTTATCAATACATCAGATTGTACGTCATGAAATATTTTTGTGACCAAAACTGCTGTAATGCATCATTTCTCAACATGAGACAATCTTAGTCTAAAACTCTGGCATTAGAGGTGGTAAGGCATGTGCATTTATTCAAATACCGTACTTTCCGCCGTGCAAGTCGTACTGCCGTATAAGTCGCATCAGTCCAAAAATGACAAATAAAGTGGAAAAAGCATAAATATGTCACTTCGCCGTATAGGTCGGATATATTATGCATCACCGCTGACACGTCGCATTTGTTATGCGTCACCGCTGACCACCCGGAAATGTGGGCCAGTATGCCAAAAATTGATTGGGTGCCAAAATGGAAGCCGTGGGAGCATGCTTGGTAGGACTTTAACAAGAATTTAACAAGATTAACACTTAAAAACAATTATTTGTTTGCTTGAAATTATAGCAAAGGCATATCTTAATTTAACTTTTCCTTAATAAATGCACTTTAATGATCGAATCAGCTGCATTTCGACTGGGCGGCGCGGCGAAATGCAGCTGAGTTGTCGTTTTCTCCAAGAGTTCTGGAGCGAGACAAAGGTGGCTGCTTTGGCAAGCCAAGTGTCTCATTAATAGACACTTTTACTTATTAATGAGACACTGGGCTTGTCATAAGGCTTGAGGGCCCTCTAGTGGCAGCAAATGGTACTGTTTAATATTTTTCATGTCAGAATGAATGAAATCGGCAGATCTCAGACAAAAATTGGGTTATAAATATGGGGAAAAAATGTATATTAGTCACTTTGGTGTATAAGTCACAGGACTTGCAAAATTATGCAAAAAGGTGTGACTTATACGCCGGAAAATACAGTAATCATATTCTTCTGATTATTATCTAGTTTTGTACCTTTTTTACTTTGAGGCACAAAAAAAGGTGGTACACATCAAACCATCAGCTATTTTATCATTTCTTTTTCTTTTTTCATGTAGGAGCTTAAATACCTGTCAAATCAATTGTTTGGTTACATGCACATGGACTCTCCGAGCACAACTCTCTGACCTGATCTTTACTGCAGCAAGACTACTGGACTGTAATTATTAAACAGAGGGGCAGGCGGGAAGAGGGGCTGACGGGTGAAGGCAGACTGATAAATGCACAAAGACAGAGGCAGGAAAGTGGACGGATAATAAGGTGGAGGGACATGGAGTGGATAGGCAACAAGACAGCTCGACAAATAGCAGGACCGTCAGAATGACAGCTTTAAAACACCTTAAACTAGACTCCACCTTACCGGGAAAACTGAATTTCTTGCAATATATTGGATTTAAATGTTGTCTCAAAGCAACTTATCCTAACATGAAAAAAATATCATCCACCTTACTTTATACCTTCCTGGGTTTTTTTCATTAATTTGATTGGCACGCTACACCGAGCGGATGGGAGTCAGGGTTTGTAGTTGCTGTGGCAACGGCCTGCTCTTTGTTAAGGGCTACATTCCTGGCATCTGATGCGTCTACGCTGCAATCGATAAAACACCCCCAGCCTGCGGGGACTGATGAACGGACCGAGGCTTTTGCCAGGCCAAGCAGGAGAATTGGTTGGAGAGAAGGAGTTAGGTGGAGGATGCGCGTGCCGGAAGATGCCGAGATTAAAGAGTGATAGAGAGACAGGGAAAGATGTGGAGATGCGAGTGGTGCAGCTGATGAGCCGGGCGTAGAGGAGGTGAGTGCTGTGGAAAAACGGAAAAGAGCGAGTGTGCGCGTGGCTTTTTTTCCCCCTCATCCCAGCTATTTTCTGAACGTCACTCACTTTGCTTTCAAAGTAAGGTACGTCTCTGTCTGTGTGCTCATCATCTCCTTACTTTGGCAGGGTTTTAGCTTTTTGAGCGGGCAAGCAGTCAAAAAGGCTTCCTTTTGTATTCCCATAATTTTTCTTCTCTTACAATAGTGCATTCAAATCTTCACAGCTCACAGATGTGTCTTACGCTTTGCACACCTAATTGGAAAAGATAGCCACGAGCAGAATGCGTATTCTTCGGGTAATGAGGCAATTATGAGCTGGTTCTGTCTACACAGCCATCTGTCAATTCAACAACCTGTGGCTGCTGAAAGGTGTTTTTTTATGTTTAGGTCCATGTCTTCCTGTGCTGAGGGAAGACAGCATGTTTTACAACTGAACTCTGTATTCGTATTACTTCATCCTTATTGCTTCTCTCCACTACAATCGTCTCATTCGGTGACTGGAAACTAGAGCCACATTTCACTGGGTAAATGAAGCAAGTGCACAAAAATAAAATCAGCAAATTGTCAAGCTATAATTTCAGGTGGTACAGATTATTCAGTGCAGATTTACAAACACAGTCCAGTAATGTGCAGGCGGTAAAGCACATAAACCAAACCATATCTAATAGCTTTATTGTAGAAAGAAATTTGTGTTTAAATCATTTATGGAACAAAAGCTAAATAAGATGTAGTATATGAGCATAATATATCAGATTTAGATTAAAATAAAAACTAGTTAGAAAATAAAACATCGTTATCTACTTAAACTATTTACTAAATGAGCATTAATATGGGTTCAGGAATAGCAGATCGATCTGTAGCAAAGATGGATACATGATGCCGTTTCAACATAAAAGTGACCAATATTGATAAGAGGTGTTGCAAATTATTGGTTACAAAGTTATTCGGACAGTAGGTTTTAATATGTAAAAATAAACTATACAGAATCACAGTTAAAAAAAAAAATAATTGTGGTGTTCCATAAGGTTCGGTACTGGACCCATATTTTTTAACTGTTTAAAAATTGGCAGCATGGTGGCTTAGTGGTTAGCACTGTTGCCTCACAGCAAAAAGATTGGTTTGATTCCCAGTTTGGTCTTTCTGTGAAAAGTTTGTATGTTCTCATCGTGTTTGTGTGGGTTTTCTCTGAGTACTTCCTCCTACAGTCCAAAAACATATATGTTAGGCTGCCTTCAGGCCCAGGTCTCCCTTGCAAAAGAGACATGTGATCTCAGTGGGATTTGCCTGGTTAAATAAATGTTAATAAAAACAAAACAAAATAAATTATTCTTGTTCTGTAACCACATTTAAACTATAATGTTTGCTGATGATACCAACCATTGTGTCTCAGATACAAAAGAATTGAAAAATTGTAGAAAGTAAACAGATTATTGTCAACTAAGTTATCTTTTGAAAACTAGAAGCACAAGAAGAGTGCACATCTTCACCAAGACCCTAAGGTACCTCATGCAGTAACATACTGTGCACACAGACAGACAAGAAACTTTAAAAAAATTCCTGGATCCAGATGGTGATCCAGATCACCACCCAAATTAAAGCATTTGTTCTTTGTCATAACCTCAGCATTTCCTGAAAATGTAAGGAAAATCCAAATGAGTTTTTGAGACAGACAAACAAACCAACGCTACCAAAAAGATAACATCCTTAGAAGAGTTAAAACTAAATTTATGCTGTTTCATGGTGTAAGGGACAATTTGAATTTAACTCTTAAATTAATTTGAGTCTGTGAAATAAAATTTTTAGGCGTTATTGTGAATTATAATAGTTGAAAACCAAACCATATATATCCTGATGCATGCTCAATAATCCAGGTAGAAAAATCCAAAAATGTTCTACATTGTTTTGCTTTGTTTTGTTTTTGGTTTATTTTGAATGTCCAAAGGACCAGATTGAACTTTTTGGACAAACCATATATAGCTTATATGAAAGAAGCCCTCTAAATGTGATGGTATTTTGTCTAGAGTTAAATAATTGTTAGATGTGAAGTGATTTTATCCATAACACTGCTCTTTTGTAATGTATTAAATGTAGTGAAAGTTGAGGAAAAGCAATTATAGACCCAATATTTAAACTTTAAACAGAGCTTTTACACATACAGTCTCTTTTAATGAACATAATCTCTGTAGTTGCAGATATTAGTGTTTAAAAAAAACATCAGTGCTAACAATCAGTTTTATTTAATCTTATTATTTAATTAATAGACAAACAGTGAATTATACAAGCGTTATGCACTGTTCATTTGAAAGCTGTCTAGTTTGAACCAATGTGAAATATAATGTGTTTCAGCTTTGGGCATCAAATTATAAACTAATCTTACCGATAAAAGAAAAAAAAATCTGTATTTGGATTGAAAATACAATTTGAGTTAATGATGTGTAAAGTAATCTCTTTAAGATTAGTTAAATTATTTACAGTTTTTATGTTCTGTCTTGAGGAGTTTCTGTATATTTTTTTAAGTTGGTGTTGGATTGGCGTAAACAAATTTCAGCTTCAGCCTACTCTTTTTTTCAGTTTTGTTGTATTGTGGTAATGTAATTGTTGTTTTTATTTTAATGCAATCAAAATAAATTAACTCATCCTATTATTCATATTATATTATGTAAACTACATGGGCTCTACCATGGAAGCATTTCCTTTGCAGATTGTTTTCCTATCACTGTGAACAAACACCCACCCATATTCATCTGTGATGCAAATGACACACACATCCTGCACCGGTGGATCCACATGAAGTGTGGCTCCAATATTGACGATTTTAAAACATCCACATAAAACATCATCACTTTGTCTACAACCTTTTGTTCTAACACAGTGATGAACATTCACACTTTTTTGCAGCTGATAGTTCTACTTCTCCCAACATTTTGCCCCGCTGTGACATTAATTCCATTATGTCCACATTGCAGAGGAATGAGATGACTCATTAAAGGGTGTAAAGACTGTGCAGTTTAAGCAGACATAAAGTGTAAGTGGTTGAAAATGTAAAAAGGTGTAGTGGGTGCTGCTGACAGACTGGGTTAAAGGGATACTACCTCATTTCTTGTCCGTTGTGTCTTACAGGCTTTGTTCGTGATGTTGCTGTGTATGGGAAAGAAGCTGTGCCGTAACAGAGGGCATCGTGGGTAAAAGAGACATGCAACAGCCAGCCCCGCAACACTGCCACCTCTTCCTGGGCGGGGCCTTGCTGCTTCTCCTCGCCAGCTCAGCTCTGAGCTGCCCCGCCCGATGCGAGTGCTCTCCCCAAACCAAGTCGGTCAGTTGCCACCGTAAGCGCCTGCCCAGCATTCCCGAAGGCGTTCCCATTGAGACCCGCGCCCTGGACCTGAGCAAGAACAAGTTGCGCGTCATCACACCAGACAACTTTTCCTCCTTCCAGCAGCTAGAAGACCTGGATCTCAGCGACAACCTCATCAGTGTGGTTGAACCTGGCTCGTTCCGCTCTCAGTTGGCTCTGCGCTCGCTCAACTTCCGTAGTAACCTGCTTCAGCTGGTTCCTGCTGGGGTTCTGACAGGTCTAACAAACCTTACCCACATCGATCTCAGCCACAACCGACTCGTGGTTCTTCTGGACCATGCTTTCCAAGATCTGCACAGGTTGATGTCCCTGGAGGTGGGTGACAATGAGCTGGTTTTTATCTCTCAACGGGCCTTCACTGGACTACTGGGACTTCAGAGTCTGACACTGGAGCGTTCAAATTTGACTGTGATCCCAACTGATGCTTTGGCACATCTGCACAATCTGTTTGAACTACGGATGCGATACTTGAGCATCAGTTTTCTCAAACCATTCTCCTTTAAGAGGTTAACTCGTCTCCGTCATTTGGAGATTGACTTCTGGCCCTGGCTGGAAACTCTGCCTCCCTTGTCACTTCATGGCCTCAACCTCACAACATTGTTCATTACCAACACAAATCTGTCTGCCCTCCCTGGCGCAGTGTTGCGAAACCTGCCCTACCTCACACACCTTAACCTTTCCTACAGCCGCATCCAGCACATCCACCAGGGAGAGCTCGGCCAGCTTCAACACCTGCTGGAGCTTCGCCTTCAAGGTGCTCATCTGGTTTCCATAGAGCCCCTGGCTTTTTTGGGCCTTAAATCTCTTCAGCTGCTAGATGTGTCTCAGAATCGCCTTGACTCGCTCCAGCGGGGGGTGTTTGCTTCACCAGACACACTTCAGAGGCTTTGTCTGGGTGGAAACCCTTTAGTGTGCGACTGCAGGTTACTGTGGCTACTCAACAGCCACAAGCCGCCTGCTCTGCAGATTTTGGATGCCCAGCCTGAATGCAGCGCACCTGAGTACCTCCTGGGGAAAACACTACGTGACCTTAGGGAGCCTCTGGTCTCAAGGTACATGACCTGCACCAAGCCACGGATTGGACCAAACACAACCCAGCTGTTATTGGCTGATGAGGGTCAACCAGCCCGTCTGAGCTGCACGGCAGAGGGAGCACCGCGACCCTCCGTGGTCTGGATTACTCCTCACAGACGCTACATCACAACTAAAAGCAGTGGTAGGGTGGAAGTCCAACCAGATGGCACCCTGGAGATTAAGGTGGCAGAGCTGCATGACAGCGGGGTGTACTTGTGTATTGCCAGTAACCCCGCTGGCAATGCAAGCCTGTCGGCATCTTTAGCTGTAAAAAGCCTTGGAACTGGGGAGAGATATAACAAAAGCTTAAACTACCTGACAGACTCCAACAGCTCATGGGGGAATGGAACAGTATTGTACAACATGACCCTCCCTATTGATATAAAGACGATTATTATATCTACAGCAATGGGCTGCCTGTCCTTCTTAGGTGTGGTTGTGTTCTGCTTCCTGCTTCTGTTCGCCTGGAGCCGGGGCAAAGGACGCCACAAGAACAACTTTGACATTGAGTATGTCCCCCGTAAGTCCAACGGGGCAGCTACAGACGTTGCGGAAACAAGTGGTCCTCGGCGAGTTAACATGAAAATGATTTAAAACTGATGAAAATTTACACACACGACAGAAGCATTAACAAAGTGCACACATATCAGCCGAAAAAAAAGGTTTTTTTTGTTTTTTTTTATGACTTAAGTGGATTTGTGACTAACGAAAGTGGTGTATTACTGTAGTGGGTGACGATATGCCGTTGATCTAGTGATAAAGTGGACTTGTGAATATAAAAGTGATAAATGAAATGTGTTCATATGAAATCATGTTCTCACAAAGTACACTGAATATAAAACTATAACCAACATATCAATATGTGACTGAAATAGTGTTGCACTTGGCGAGTGTTTCAGCGATATCATCGACTCTCCGAGACGTCGAGGTGAAAGAGACAGAACAGCTGTCATCTCTGCTACATGTCAGGACTAAACTGTCTAATTCCCATTTTAGCTGCAGTGTGAAAGGTGTGCGTTGTGTTCAAGTGTGAATGTGAGCGCTGGGCACATGTTGCATTTGTGTGTGTTTTTGTGCATGTGCACGCATTGCCTTTCTTGTGGGATGGAACAATTAACGATGGTGGTCCAAAGCATTTATTTTAAGGCTTTTTGTTTGTGTTTGGTTATTGTAACAGAAGTAACACCCCTGTTGGTGAAAACAGAGGATTATCTATGTTTGTATGCAAAATCACATCTGATCTCTCCTAAAGAAATGCTGCAGAAATTTTGAAGTGTTGTCCCCATTTGATGACTTGGACACTAGATGGGGATTGTTTTTTTTATGAACTAATGTAGTTAAAATGTGAGGTTTTGTCTCACTTTTCAGCTAAACGAGAAGCTTTTTTCCCAACAAACAACAATGGTCAATGGTGTTATGGCTCTGAAAAGGCTTTCCAACCATAAAAAGAGCATGTAAAACCCGTTTTATAACGTAATAAATCATGGGCAGATTTTCCTGCCAGACAAATCCCTCGATATGATATAAAAGAGTCTGTAGCCAGACACAATGGCAAAGATTTACTGGCTGGCATCCTCTTTGGACGAGACAAAGTTGAGCTTTACAGATTTATGTGCTGATTTCCCCCTCCTTTTTCATTTTTCTTTGATTGAACCACTTAAAGTTAACATGTCCGGGTTTTCCCCCAAGAGGGTAGCAAGGTAGCTCTGGCTATTTTGGAATTTGTAGTTGGTTCTTGTCTTTATTTGTTTGTTTGTTTTCTGTTTTGTTTGCTTTTTTGTCATTTTTAATGTAAAAAAAGAAAAACAAACAGTAAAACACTTAAGGGCAACTCTTTGTAATGCAGGGATGTGGGTGTTTAAATTTGTGTGATCCTGTTGTAATAAATTGTTCAAGGTTCTATTGTTGTTTTCATACGTATGACAAATTTATGGGTATATTTTCAAAAGGAAATAAATCTTAATCATACCCCTAACCCTGGAGTTTCCACAGCTGATTCTTTCATCACCGAATTTATCTTTATTTATTTTATTCCTTTTTACATGTGTATGGAATAATAACATCATGGAATAAAATTCAATATATAGAAACTAAAATGACTGCATTTAGACCTGGATTAATTTGTTTAGCACTTAACAGACCATATAAGAACAAAAAAGTTAATGTCGAAAATTTTGTTTTACTCAAAATTTGGGCTAAAAATTACATTGTTTGCAAAGAAGTCCAGTTTTGTCCCAAGGTTTAATAATGTTGGCTGCACCGTTTAATTTTTTGTTTTGTATATTTTAGTTAATTTATGCACAAAAGTACAGCCTAAAGTAAGTCTGGCTCCTCATTATCTGGTTTGTAAAAGGTAGATGTCAAATGCATTGACTAAGGAATAGATTGAATTAAAGTGTTTAATGTTTTTTTTAATTGAAGGATATTGCACATGACAGAATAATAGATTATGGGTTTTAATTAAATTGTGCTTTTCCAATGTTGTTCCAATAGGTACTTGATAAGCACACACGTCCTAAAGGTTCTGGTCATCTAAGACAAACCACACCAAGGGATAATTCTTGTACTGTGTGCCAAGCAGTGCAGCCATGACACCTGTACTGGACTATATTGGACTTTGCAACAGTCTGTGTCATCCCACATGTTTCAATGAGTGGCATCAGCCAGATGCGATGTTCATCACTCCAGGTGTTGACTGCCATTAATAACAGCAGAGTGTGTTTGAAGAGTGTTCCTTCATCAGTGACATCCTGTTTCTGTGTCTTATGGCTAATGGGACAAAACCTTAGTACGGTCTTTCATTAAGACAACACACCTCTGTGTCTGTGGACTGCCTGCATCACGTCGAAGTCCACTTATACGGACACAAATTCCAGTCATATATATGCTGTACTTGTAAATCAGACTGTGTAGTTACAACTTAAGCTTTGCAACCTTGTAAAATAAAATGCCTGATGTGTAGATAGAAATGTGTGCATGTAAAAAAAAAAAAAAAGTATTTGTAAAAAACAATTACACAAGTTTGCTTTTTTTTTTTCTTAAGGTCTGTTTACAGATCCAAAGCAAAAAACTGTGTAAAACTGTGTGCTCAAGCTCCCTAACTTGCGTGAGTTTCATTTTGCAAGTATGAATTGATTCTTTCTCTCAGCTGACTGGTCAATGTCTTGTCACTTATTCCGAGAACAGATGGGTTTAGTTGTCGAGGGGTGGCGCTTTACTGAGCTGCAGGTCTTGTAAGAGTTGTACATTTTAAGATAGAGGGCGGCATCAGCGCTAATGAACGTGATTTTCAAAATGCTCTATTGGAACAATGATTTTGTTTTTGTTCCACTAAACCATGAAATAATGCCTACCTGACCCACAGAAGCACTGGCACCATCCTCTATCTTTTAAGTGCACTACTCTTCCAGAACCTGCAGCTCTGTAAATTACCACTCTGACAGCTAAAACTATCTGTTCTCTAACTGGATTGTTACATTTGTGATTGATGTGACATTAACCAATCAGCTGAGAGGAAGATATATCCTTTCATAATTTGTACTTGCAAGTTGAAACTCACGCAAGTTAGAGAACTTGAGCACAGAGTTTTACACATAGTTTTTTTTGCTTTGTATCTGTACACAGACCTTGACATAAAAACATTTTGTAACTTGCGTAATTATTTTTTTACAAAGGCATATCTTTTTTTATGTGCACACACTCCTATCTACATAAGTTCAAAGCAAAAATTCTCAGGCATTTTATTTTAAAAGGTTACAAAACTTAATTCACAACTATGCAGTCTGATTTACAAGCACAATATATATATGACTGAAATTTGTGTCCATACTCAAATGGCTAGCCAGAATCCTAACCTTTTTCCAATCACATATTTATGGGATTATCTTAAACGTCAGTTGTGATTCAGTCTGACTTGCTGCAGGAGAAGATACAACAGCTGAATGATTTCCTTCCAGGCCAAATCAAAATGAACACGAAGGTTCTTTACGTTGGTGCTGGAAGCCAAGTTAACGCCATCCAGAAAAAGTGAAAAGGCTGCAGTTTGTTTCTAAGATGCTCAGGTCCTAAAACCACTTTGTCTTTAAATTATTTAAAGTCATCCAAATTTATATGTCCATTAAGACGCACTTGCAATCTAAGTAACTGATTGGATTCAGCTAACTTTACGGATAAATATAAGTGAGTGTCATTACCATAACAAAGGAATTCATCGTACTCTCGAATAATTCATATAATAGAAGGATATATATAAAGTAAATAGTATTGGTCCAAGCACTAAACCCTGAGGAACTCCATCAGTAACTCTGGTGTATGAAGAATCACTGAGAACATGATAACTGGTACATTAATTATGAATAACTGCATGTATATAGGTTCAGGAGGGTACCAAGCCCTACTGACATGGGACCATGTGAATGTACGGCCAACTCTAATATCCATCTGATACAGTCACATGATCTAGGAACGCGTGCAGTTTCATCTAATTTTCATCCCTTCATGGGTTCTAATTATTTTTCTCAGTGAACGTATAGCTTTTTTGTAATTTGATTAAATTTATTCAGTTTAATAAATAGGGACCATGTGCATTAATCACAAAGGGAAAGAAATTATAGCTCTCAGTGCTTACGTCCATCAGCAGTCCCTGAGACAAAAAAAAAGTTTCACAAAATGTGGAACAATCCTGGCTGTATATGATACAAAGTGCACAAGTACTGATGTAAAAAGCTATTTAAATGTAGTAGTACCTGAATGAAAAAGCAAGGCACTAAGAAAAACTTTGAAAGAACTTTAGAACGTCTGCAGATCAATACCAGTTTAAATGATGACAAGAAAATCTGGCTGCTTGTAAGCAAAATGTAAAAAAGTGGTTTGAAACTTTAGAACACACTGCTGTCATTTTAAAATTTCTCTTCACGAAATCATGACACTTGTCAGTTTATTCATTCTGAAGCTGCAGAGGCTGCAACATGCTTCTTTGCAGTTCAGATGGGAATCTGTGAGCTGTGCAACATTTTCCTTTTAGCAGAGAACAAAAACCTCAAGACTGGACCACATGAAGGAAAAGCCATAAGAAATGGAGCAATCTGATATGCAGCGTGGTGGAAGCTCAAATCTTCTACAAGAAACGAAAGATATTGTCACATTAACTGTAAAAGTTATATTTCTATATTTTATCTGAACCACACTCTTCATGGAAAACTGTACTAAAAAGTCTACACTCCACCTTGTAGGATATTATGGATTAAGAAAAAAAAAGCTAATTGGCGAAAGCAACACTTAATTTTGCGACTGTATGAATATTCACACATGCTGTCTCATATTTAGAACAAGATCTTAGTTGTTCTTTGGAGGTTTTGTTATTTGCACTTATATTTGCACAAAGTTGAGCTGTAAGTTTTTGCCTATATGTGTCTATATAGACAAAAAAAAAAAAACCACCATATCACGATATCATTAAAATTAGAAATATCTTGTCCAAAATGATGCAGAAAAACTGGTCCATCCATTTAACACATCTAAGTTGGGCGATTGCAACTATTTATTATCTGGGCGTCCAAAAATTATTTAAAAAGTCTTCAGTTGATCCAAAATGCTGCTGCCAGAGTTTTAA